GCCACGTGGAGGATGCCGCTAAGGTGTTCGACACTTGGCGCCCGAAGATGGATGCGACGGTGGACGAGTTGCGTGCGGAGGTGGGTGTGATTCGAAAGACGAACGAGAAGGTGGAGACATTGCGGGAAGAAATGACCGCACTGCGCAAGTCCGTGAGCCGCTCCATCCTCGACACCGCGACCATACCGTGGAACAACCGGAGGCAAAGCCGCCCAAGCCGTCGAGCCGACTAGCGAGCCGCTAAAGCGCCCCAAAGGTGTCTGTCAATGAGCCACACGATTCCCACCGGCCGACCAAATTCAGCCCGTTAGGGCCCCACGAGGAATCAAGTCACCGGGGATTCGAGTATTCAACTCAATCCCTGGTCAAGGGTACGCTCACTCCATCCAATCTTGATCCTAAACCCAAGCTGCTTCGCTCTTACTCTGGATCAGCTCTCATAGCGGGTGTGCCTAGTGGTTCGGGTGGGGGTGATGGTTTTCCGCGCCGCACTTGGCATGGAGAAGGGGTTCCTGGAGGCAATTGGTCTAGGGAGGGAACTCACGAACACATACCCAAAATGAATTTTCCCCCATTTGATGGCGAGAACCCAAAATTGTGGCTAGGACATTGTTTGGATTATTTTGACATGTACACGGTACCACACCGCCACTGGGTTAAGGTCACCACCATGCACATGACTTCACCTCCTCTAGTCAATATATTTCACTCATCATTCCAACTCCGTGGATGATCGATTCGCTCGTGAAATTGGAAATTCTTTTGTTAGGCTGTCATGGAGTGCTTTGGCAAGGATCAACATGCTCTTCTGATCCGCCAGCTCTTCCACATATACCAAACTAGGTCCGTGCAGGAGTATATTGATAAGTACACTAGGCTAGTTGAGCAATTGATCGCCTATGGTCGCAATACCGATCCTCTGTACTATGCCATGCGTTTTGTTGATGGCCTCACCTCGATATTCGTTTTCTTTCTCTGCCATGATTTGCAACGCCACTTTTCTACTACAAGTGGGCACACTTCCCGGATCGGAAATCTTTTCTTTCTTCTTAAGATGCTCGCTTTCTCGGCGACAACGGTGGAAGAGTTGGTGGTTGAGCCGGTCGTCGTGGCGTGATGTTGGATATACCCCGGTGGAGCCATTCACCTTCGCCAATCAAGGCGGCACCACGGGATCCAAATAGGATGCCCTTGTAACCCTCCTCCTCCCCCGGATGAACGCCAGACAAGCCCATTTGTCCATCTAGATCCAAGCAGAGAGCTATGCCTCAATGATAAAAGACACGACCATGGAATTGAGTCCAAGTTGAACACCTGCGTGTCACCATCCGTCACACGAGCTCCTACCGTCTCTGCATCCATTGTGGCGACAAATGGTCTCGCGGCCACAAGTGTTCAGATACCGTCCAACTCCATGTTTTATAGGAGTTCTGGGACATCTGTCATTCGGATGACTGCTCTGATTCTACATCGGTCTAGGCAGATGATGCACCACAGTGCGCGGCTATTTCCATGGCAGCATCAGGTAGTTCGCAACCTGCTCTGTGCTATTCAGTTTTTGGGCACGGTACAAGGACATCAGGCTCGGATTTTGGTGGACTCTGGAAGCACTCATACTTTTGTCAGTCAGGCTCTGGCCTCTTAGCTGTCTAGGATATCTACTTTTAGTCCTGCCCTCCAGGTCACCATAGTTGATGGATCTCAATTGACTTGTTGCTCCCAAATTCATCAGTTGTCTTGGTCTGCTCAGCGTTGCGACTTTGTTTCGGTAGCCAAGGTTTTGCCTCTAAAGTCTTATGAGTTGATTGTTGGAATGGACTGGTTGGCTTCTCGCAGTCCGATGCAGGTGGATTGGCACAGCAAATGGATGATAATTCCCTATGGTCAAGGCCACAGTTTATTGCAAGGTGAGCCGATGAGTCTACCTACCGTTACATCATTCAGTTACCACTATGTTTGTCAATGCTCATCAGTAGCTCGTCCGAGCCTGTTCCGTCTAAGATTGCAAAGACTCTTAATAGAGTTTCATCATCTTTGCTCCTCCGGTTATCCGCGGCATGCCATTGTGACCATGCCATTCCATTGATACAGGAGCCATCCGTTCTCGGTCAGCCCTATCGTTACTCTCCTTGCTTAAGGATGAAATTGAGCGTCAAGTTCTTTGAAATGTTTGCACGCCGCCCTGATCCAAATTTCGTTCTAGTCCATTTTCTTTCATCAGTGTTACTGGTCAAGAAGAAGGATGGCATGTATCGCTTTTGTGTGGATTTCAGACAACTCAACGCCATCACAATCAAAGCTAATATATCCAGTACCCGTCATTGAAGAGCTTCTTGATGAACTCACACATGCATCTTGGTTTTCTTGTCTTGATCTGACAGCGGGATACCATCAGATTCGGTTGAAGAGTGGGGAGGAATTCAAGACTGCTTTTCAAACTCACACCGGCCATTATGAGTTTCGTGTCATAGCTTTTGGTCTCACAGGAGCTCCAGCCACCTTTCTCAAGGCTATGTACACTACTCTATACCCTCTGTTGCACAAATGTGTACTGGTTTTCTTCGACGACATTCTCATTTACAGCCATTCCTATGAAGAACATGTTGAGCATTTGTGGTTGGTCTTTCAGTTGCTTCAGCAGGATCACTGGCAGGTGAAGATGTCCAAATGTCACTTTACCCAGTGCTAGCTTCGTTATTTGAGGCATGTTATTTCAGAGAAAGGTGTGGCCACTGACCCTGATAAGGTGCAGTTGTCTTGAAATGGCCTGTTCCACGGTCAGTTAAGGAATTGCGTAGTTTCTTGGGACTAGCAGGCTACTACAGACGCTTTGTTAAGCACTTTGGCATCATATCAAAACCCTTGACAGATCTTCTTCGCAAAAGGGTTGTATATGTCTGGACAGATAGCCAGGACAAGGCCTTCTCAGCTCTGAAGCATGCTCTGACCACCGCCCCGATTTTGGCTCTACCTGATTTCTGCCGCCCTTTTGTAGTGGAGACTGATGCCAGCGGTATTGGAATTGGAGTTGTACTGATGCAAGGGGGTCATCCCTTGGCATTCCTGAGCAAAGTCTTGGGACCCCGCTTGCAAGGGTTATCCACATATGAGAAGGAATATATGGCTATCTTGTTGGCACTAGAGCACTGGCGCAGTTATCTGCAGCATGCCGAGATTCAGATCATCACCGATCATCGTAGCCTGGTGCAGTTGACCGACCAAAGGCTTCACACACCCTGGCAGCAAAAGGTCTTCACCAAGCTCATTGGCCTACAGTACCGGATTGTTTACCGCAAGGGCGCGGATAATGGAGCGGCTGATGCACTCTCCCATTGTCCTTCCGCGCAATTGGTCGCGCTGATCAGTTTGTCAGCCTTAGTGGTTGGAGGCCGTGGTGGAATCATACTCTCACGATGCGCGAGCCCAAGAATTGCTTGCCAAGTTGGCCATGGCACCGGATTCAGTCACCAACTTTACTCTTCGTGATGGACTGCTGCGCTACAAATGTCGTATTTGGGTGGGTGCTGATCCTGAGTTGCAAACTCGACTGATTGCAGCGGTGCACTCTACTGCTGTTGGTGGGCATTCCGGCATTTCCGTCACCTATCGCCAATTGAAGCAAATCTTTGCATGGACAGGCATGAAGTCAGCCGTTCAGTCTTTTGTAGCAGCTTGTGTTGTTTGCCAACAAGCTAAACCTGACCGTTCCAAGCTGCCCGGCTTGTTACAACCGTCGTCGGTGCCTGACAACGCCTGGTTCATGGTATCCATGGATTTTATTGAAGGGCTACCATCATCACAAGGTTCTAATTGCATCCTGATGATCGTGGATCTTTTTTCCTAAGTATGCCCATTTCGCCTCAAAATCCTTTCACCGCACGATCGGTGGCTCGGCAATCTCTCAAGTGTATAAGTTGCTCAGTATCGGATCGAGACAAAGTCTTTACAAGTCATTTCTGGCGTGAGCTGTTTCGGTTAGCCTTCAAAGTCTTCTTCCATACCGGATGGGCAAACCGAACGGGTCAATCAATGTCCGGAGACGTTCTGCGTTGCTTGCGGCATGCTTGCCCACATCAAGGGCGGCGATATGGTTGGATCAAGCTGAGTTTTGGTACAATACCAATTGGCACTCAGCTTTGGGGCGTTCTCCTTTTGAGGTATTGTATGGTCATGCACCGCGCCAACTTGCCACTTCTTCGTTTCTTCTTCGGGCCCCGATGTCCGGGTGATCCGCCATGATTTGAATCGCGCTAAGCAACGTATGAAGAAGCAAGCTCAAGAAGTTTCAGTGGTGAATTCGTCAAAATCAGCCATATGTGCAATCTTTCTTGGCATCCACCAAAGAATCGAATCGCCTTCAAATTCTTCACCATTCCAGATCATCTGGCTCGCATGGGAGCGGTGGCTTTAAAACTGGAACTTCCAAGGTTTCACATCAGTCATCCACCAGTCATCCACCAAGGGTACGCGCTGTCATCCACCAGTCATCCACCAAGGGTACGCGCTCTATCACTCAAGGTTTCATTCAGTGGTTTAATCTGTCAAGGTCTCTAGCTACTTGGGAGGACTTGGAGTTCCTTCGGCAACAGTTTCCCCGCGCCGCCGTCTGGGACTGGCTCAGCGCGCAAGGAAGGGGGAATGTTACGCCTGGACCTTCTAGTGTGGCGAGTCCGGCATCAGAAGCTGAAGATGGACTGAAGCCGCAGCGGGAGAATGGGCCGCAGCTTAGAACGTCCATTCGGCCCAGACTCCCTAACCGGCGCGTTTCGGGCAACGACTGGGCAAGGCGTGAACTCAGCGTCATATATACAGAATGGTTGTGAGATGAGAGGGCATGAAAGATCATTGTAATCACTTTGCCTCCTCCTGCAAGCTTCCTCTGATTCCCAATCCCGTGCTCTGCTGCATCTCCTCTGCTCCGTCCCTGCTACTCGCCTGAAACTCTGTATTACCGATACTCTAGATACCAGAACTCATCTGAGATCGTAACACAACCGCGGATGATGCCACCTGCTGCCGACTATGCCCTCGCTCTCCATGCCGGGTCTGGGCTTCTCCTGGATGAATCCCGACGAGTTTGTCCGTGTGTCCTTCTTCCCCTCCGTGCTTCTCTCGCGCTAGTTGGGCGTGCAGGTGGCGGTGGCGATGACGAGGACGTCGACATGGGCGGGGATTACCTCCAGGGTGTCGAGATCATTGACAGTTCGTATGGCATGATCGAGCAGAGCATCTCTTCCACGGGTCACTACTCACTAGGTACGTTCACGCCGTCTTCTTGTTTCCACCTGTTGGAATCCTATCGATGCCTTGCCTTTGGCGGCTATGTTTGGTTCAGGCTAAAAAGGATTGTATTTTTTTTTGGTCTTATACTCGTTGTTAGTCACTCACTTGGATGTTGCAAAGGCCGATATTTTACTTCATCTTTGTATGCAGTATGACTGGTGTCCTAATTGTTGTCCGATTTCTTTCTTCGAACAGCATATGCAGAGAGGTGGTTTGTAGCAGAGAACGTGGTATGAGCCTAATTACTGATTATTATACGTGTGCATCTACTGTGGGTTTCTATTAAATACAAGCATACAAATAAATTGCAGCACAACGAGGAACTGGAGTCAGGAATGAGCTCCAGAGACCTGAATTGCCACCTTCTTCATACCACACAACGTGGGTTTCTGTGGTGCCATATGGGGGCTCTCATCAGACTCCCTGCCTCCCAAATGTGTTGACTGGATATTGTAGAACCAGCATGACGATGGATCTTGGGGCGTCATCCAATCTGACTCATCAGTCAACAAGGATGTTCTCTTATCCATGTTTTTAAGCTATCTCGCATTCAGGAGATGGAACCGTTGACAGAGGTAACATGTTGAGAGGTATAATTGAGGTTCCAAGTGAGAGAAGGTATTTTTATTTCAGCGAAAGTTGATGCCGACCAGTCACCTTTTTTCTTTTGCATTTTGATTCTTGAACAGGACTATATTTTTAGTTGATCTTTGTATTCAGCGTCAACAATTGTCTGTTGTTGTAGATGGCTTAATCTGCAACTTCACAGAGTGTTGTTGGCAAGAGGTGATCGACCAGTCATGACTTATGTTTTCAAGACATTGCTTTTATTGGTAGCATTTCTAAATTTCAGGTTATTTCATTAACCCAGTGATTCACTCCTTGATTATTTCATAGGCTTTGAATTGAATATATTTCTAAATCTAGGAGAAAGCTAGCTGCACATCAATACATTGTTCAGTCTGAGTATGTGATGAAGTTCCTTCCTGGACCTTCGAATTGTCTCTATATTTTTGTGCAGCTAGCTTTCTCCTAGATTTAAAAATATATTCAATTCAAAGCTGTTACAGCAGTACTAATCCCTTCTAATAGAAACTAATCACTAACAGCATCCATTCAATGCAGTAGGTAACTGTTCCAGAGAGTTGTTTGAGCTGCTAAGAGCAGAGGCTACACCAAAATCTGAAATATTAAGTTTCTGTGGCCCATATGGTTTGGCACATATGTTCAGAGATTTTCTATTATTCCAATCATTTTGGGTTCCATATATAGTTGTCTGTTTCCAATTTCTTTAGGCACCACTGGAAAGTGGAAGATGCTTCAGCAAGCAGTTCAATATCTTTTATCTTTGGTCCAAGAACTCAGGTATTGTATGTTCTCCCTTGCGTCAGACTTGCAGTACAAGCAGATTTGTAGTGTCATCTTGGGAATTATAAAGGGCAGAGATACTCTTATGTGTCTTCACTTGTCATTTTTCCCTGCTATACTTCTGGGGAATAATGGTGGCAATACATAATGAAATTCAACACCAGGCTTAGAGAATTATTGCAACAGGTGGAGCTGTGCTATTTTTTAAACAAAGAGATTAGCACATGTGCAGTTGTGAGTTATTCTAAATGAATTCCTTGCTGCATGGGTTTACATACTTCCTTTTGCCCTCTTCCCATTTGTACAATGTTAATGCCTTCATGCTTTGAATATTTCATCTTTTTCTGATAAAAAATCATGGGTATGTTTGATTACATTTGACTATTGAATTGGATGCATCACCAGATTCACTCTTCACTTGTAGCTATTTTTTTCTTTGTTCAGGGAATGGATATGGCACTTTCAAAGCTTAATAGTGGTGGATGGGTTCATATATTTCCTGAAGGAGGCCATTCAACGGATGAAGGGAAAATCATTGCTCCTGCCAAGAGAGGTGTTGCAAGGTTAGAAAATTATTTTCCTCTCATACTGTCCTTTTTCTAAAGAATACTAGACAACTGATCGCCATCAGTTTGTTTCTGTCTGCATAGCAAAACCTCCGCTCTGCTTATGCATATGCGTTATAGACTTGAGTTTTAAGGTTCTTACTTATTGATCAATTCTGAGTTATACTCAGTTTGATTGCCTCTTGTTTTACCAGATGCTGACAGACTGACAGCACTCCAGTTGTAATACCCTTTGTCAATACTGGGATGCTGGATACAATGCCTGTTGGAAAACACATCCCCAGAGCAGGAAGAAAACAGGGGTGGAGCTAGGCCACTTTGTTGGGGTCAGCCGACCCCGATGGAATTTACCAAAATTAGTGAAAAAATACTGTTTTGCATTGTTAACAACACTAATGCTGTAATGTTGAAGACTCCATCGATTCTTTCGGCTAGCTTCGCCCCCGAAAAGGGGTGTGTGCTCCTAACCTATACGACTCATCAAATTCTGTCAAAATATTTGCACAACTCTAGACTATTTAATTGATTTCTAGGTGATTTTGGTTGTGGATGATGACACCAAACATATCTCTAGAGGGATCTTGTACGACAGAGCAAGACAAAGAATTGGGCAGCGATTGCAGGATCAAGGTAGAAGTTCATAGACTGGCTGCAGAGCAGCAGTCTGAACTCCAAAACCACAACGTGTGATGATGGGTACCAGCTGTGGCAGTTGGTTGATTGGGAAGGATTTGGCATAGGGAGTTTATCAAACAGTTACTGCAGATTTTTTTTTGAGAGTTACTGTCACTACAAAATTGATGTCATTACAATTTTTGTTGCGAGTTTTGGGTGCAGTCTTACATGGAAGGGGTTCTGAACAAGCTGTTCATTTTGGCTCCATCTCTTGCATTATTGTACCCTATAACATTTGTTTTTTAAGATAAAAAACTGAAGGTAAAACGTGATGTACATGGACTTTACAAAATATGACATACCTCTTATTTCCATCATCTTTGCCTTTTTTTTTTTCCTGAAACCGTATCCACTGAAATGTATGTTCTGTTCCACTATTTCTCATTCGAATTTTACTTGCACTTAGCAAAGTTTTGGAGCAATATTTTGTTCCTTGATGACAATGGATAATCTTTCGTGTACCTTTTTATTCTTCATCATGTTAACGACTTTTGTACCCGGCGAAGTGCCGAAAGAGTCTGGAATTGCAAGTGTATCCTTAGTGTCAGGTAACCCACTTACCAATGTAATCAGGAGAAGTGCCGCAATTGCACAAAAAATGGCGCTCACAGGTTAATACAAGTTTAAACTTAAAATTAGTTTGTTTCCGTTGCAACGCACGGGTATGATCTTAGCGTGGTAAAAATATAAATAACGATACCTAGAATACTCCTGGTGAAATGCTACAATGGTAATCTGTATGCTTACAGAATTCTTATTTTCTAATTTGTACTTACAAATACCAACAGATGTCAAGGTGTCGACAAAGGTCTTGAGCCGTTGTAGTGGTCGAAGATGATGTCGAAGCCCATGTTGCAAAGTGTTGGCCGAGTTGAGTCATAGTGCTTCACCAAAGGTGTTGGCAAAGTCCCTCACGCAAAGGTGTTTGGCGGAGGAGATGTTGGCGTAGATGCTGAAGGTGTCGACAAAGCCCCTCGCGCCCAATGTGTTGAAGGAGGCAAGTTGTTTCGGTTTGGCGAAGGTGTCGTTGAAGTTCCTCTTGCCAAGGATGGATAAGTAGCAAGAAACTGCACCACACCTGAGTTGATAGGGTGCATTTTTTAGGGACTTAAGTTGAGCGTTGTAGCTTTATCGAATATCAACTTGCTGGCAAGTTTGTCAACACTCAAAAAGACACTGGCTTTCTACTTGCTGTAAAAGATGGTTAGTCGTTTCATATAATATGTGAGGGTAGTGCGAAGGTTTTAGCTTCACCTCCTGGTGCCCATGTATGTTCGGGACTTCTTCCAAGTTTTTGTTGAGTCCTGGTGCCTATGTATACTCAGGATTTCTTCCAGGTGGCTCGGGCCATGCAGTGCAATGCATGTATGTAGTGTATGTATGTATGTATGTGATGATGCAAATGAATGCATTTGCATGAAAATATTAAGAAGATTAAACATACCACGCACTCTGCAAGAAATGATGGTTGTGCTTGTGCAAAAGATAAACTCTGCACATAAAGAATAATACCCTCAAATAAAAGGGTCATAGTTTCGGATGGCTGGTGAAGGCTGTTATTTAAGAACCTGCATGATTATAGATATGACTTATAGTATTGAAAGTAATAAATATTAGTTTCCTACAAAGGTTAGCTTAAATCAATAAGCTTTGGCTAATTGCGTATTATGAAAGTGTAAAATTATTAAACAATACATCCTGAAAAAAAGATACAAAGTGTTAGTGTTAGAGGGATGAGAGGTTTGATACCTACCAATGGTTGATAGTTGATGGAGTTTGATGGTTCATGAAGAGCACTAACGACCGTTGCACTGAAAAGAGCAATCATTGACAGATTCTGATAATTTCCAACGACTTGGCACTTGATGAAAACCCAATGCGAAGGCCAATATTTGTGAAATCTGAATGCCATTAGACCAAAATCTGAGACCAACTGCCCAATGAAGGTAACTTGAGTGATGAAAACCCCAGAGCCATTTGAGAAAGATATAGCGAAGACCAAATATTCTATGAAGACCACTGACTAATGATAACCACTTACCGATGAAAACTACAGTGATGAAAACCATTGATTGATCAAGACCATTGACTGATGAGATCCACTAACTCATGAAAACCACTGACCACTGACGGATGAAAATCCACTAATTGGTGAAAGCCACTTACTAACAAATGCCATCGACTAATGAAAACCGTTGACTGATGAAAACCACTGCCTGATGAGATCAACTCATTGGTGAAATCCACTAACTAACGAGAACCACTGACTGACAAGGAGGTGGAAACCTGCATACAACAAGGCAAATATATTCTATCGGATGGTTAGCTTGGGAGAGTATGAAACACTCACAGTGGTGGTAACCAACATGTTAGTAACAAAAAGAGATTCAACATTAAAAAAATATAGGTGTTTTAGTTAGCCAATTGAGGACAAGCATGTATAGTCACTTAGGTCACACTTTTGGTGTATTGGCGGTTGCAACAGCTTTTCTAGTCACCTTGGTGACTTGTTTTGAGCGAAGGTTAATTTTTGAAATTTGCCTCGAGAGTTGTGATAAAATAAATCACAAGAAAAAAATTGTTAAGCATTATAGGTTTGTGAGAAATATTCACTTGAATTGGTTTGGTTCCTGCAATGGGGCATTTCTAACATGTGTGTAAAAGGTTAGTAGCAGTCCATTCTTTGTAGTGGCCGCAGTAGTATGGTATGGTATGCAATAAATAAATAATCCTAGCTTGTTTACGATATGCAGATGTTTTAAGTGGTCATGAGATTAATGAGATTGGTATTTTTTAACAATAATAACAAATGAGATGGTCTTACGAACTATGTATGACTCTTATAATCTACTTCTTTGTACAATTAAATGTCCATTTATACCCATTATTTATGATATATATGCTTAAATTTATATGTAATTATCATATGCCGCTATTGAAACTTAGTGTCTACAATAGCACCCGCTATCCGCGATCCGCTACCTTAGCACTAATTCGCTACCGACCCACTGTACGCTATTTAGTACCTTGAATATGACATGCAAAACATGTTGGCATGCCAAATTTAAAGAGAAAAATAAGCATTAGTCCCGAGCATCCCTATTTTGGGTGCCAACAAGAAGACGTTGCTACATCCTTGCTTGTTTGCGTGGCTTGACATAGATCGGAGCATGGTAAAAGGCAGTGGTGCCTCTCTACTCTCTTGCCTCTTCCTCTTTGTTTCTCCTCGAGCTCTTGTTTCCCCCAACCGCTCTCTCGCCAAGCACCAAGGCGGCAAGCATGCCACACCGTGTTGGCCCCTGGTCACCGATCACGATCAGTTCCTCCGGTCGAGGGTCCACTTTCCCCTCCCACCGCTCCACATACCGCGCACCATCCACCTACAAGGATCACCACCGAGACGAGCAAGAAATCGATCAACAACAAGGTGAGAACAATCCAAGGATTGGACAATCAGCACCAACAATGGATCGAGTAAACAACTGCCCAACAAGTCGTAATCAAGAAATCACCATGGTGCTCACAAGCCTCTAAAATGCGCTCGGACAGGAGGATGAAGAAGGCAGATCAGTATATCATAAATTCTAGCATTTTTTTATATAGGTTTGGTTAAATTTGAAATTAGTTGACTTAAAAAAAGCAAGATGCAGAAGGGCGGGCCTTGCAAGAACAAGTAGAAAGTCTTGACCGCTTTGCTCACCTGTGACCGGAAGGTCCACTACTCGAATACAGCGTTTCCTCTGCCTTGTTCATATTATTCAAAGTGCGGAGATAAATACTTACCATTAACACCTTCTCCGGACGGCCAGCAGGCGAAGCGGACGCTCTAGTGCCCGTGCGCGTGCGCATCCCCTTTTAAAAACGACGCAAGATGCGGACTGTTTTTTTTTTTCGAACCAAGAACAAGAAGTACATGATATAGAAGCTCAACCTGTAATTCCGTGTTACACTACTAGTAATACAGATTTTTCCCAAGCCTTGTTCATATATATTCAAGTGCGGGAGATCGATACAACACCACCCCTGCTTTTACAACCGGCCGGCCGGCCAGCGCGCACGCGGACACGGCTAGTGCCCGTGCGCGTGCGCATCCCCCGACTGCTTGACGACGACAGCGATGTTGAGGACGTTGTCCACGAGGCGCCAGACGTTCCGTTGCATGGCCAAGAAGGGGTCCTTCATCTCCGGGAAGTCCTGGAAGGCGTTGTCGCAGTCGCCGGCGCTCGTGACGGCGTCCGACAGCTGGGTGTTCATGTCGACCTGGGTGCCCTGCTTGGCGACGATCTTCTGCATCTCCTCGAGCGTCTGCACCACGTTGTCGTACCCGGTGCTGCAGGCCCCGAGGATGGACGCCATCGGCCGGCCCTCGTGGGACCTCGCCGCGTACACGTCCACCCGGCTCTTGGCCTCCTTCGCCTTCTCCGCCGCGACGCGCATCGACGCCAGCAGGAGCTCGCGCGGCGTGGTCACCTTCGGGAGCTTCGTCAAGCTCTGGCACATCTTCTTGAAGCGCACCTACATGCGCGCGATGCGGCACAAAAGAAAACGGAGCATCGATCAGCAAATCCCGTGCCATCCACAGACTGACAGACAGATCGATCGACCTATGCAAAAATTCTCATGCATTGCACAGCACAATAAAAAGGGGATGTGGTGCGGCGGTGCCTACCTGGTTGCATGTCTGCTGGCATGCGTCCTCGCCAATCAGCTCGCGGACCACGCGGGCCTCGGCGGTGGTCGCGAAGGCCAGGAGGAGGAGGAGGGAGGCGACGATGATCCTCGAGCTCTCCATGGTGTCTGCCGTTCTCGTTTATCTTGACCGCCCTCGATTGTTATGACGAGAAGTGTAGAGGGCGGTGGTCTAAGAAACAGACGCGAAGGCCGAGAGAATGTACAGGCTGATGGTTCTACTTCCAAACGGCGTGTAGTTTATATAGGAGAGGCGAATGGGCGAGGCCACAGGTATGACCATGGCTTTTCGGCTTTTCCTTGGGTTTCGTGGTTCCCCGCCATGGTCTCTCACCTTGGTTTTATTTAGCCTCCCCCTAAACATAGGCACATAGCTGCTTGCGTTGCCAACTTGACAACAGAAAGATGTGTATTCATGCAATGATCGGTCCATCGAAGCCTACTGAGCTAGTCCGATATGCTCTGAACGTGTATTCATGCCCTATACAAAATTACGTATCTTTTTTTTTTTTTGAACGAACTGGAGGGGCCGACGCCCCTACAGAGAAATTTTACTAAACCAAAAGAGTCACGAAACAAAGAGATTTACAAAGGAGCAGAAGGAGGGGAGCAGCTAGCAAGAAACAGAACATAAGAAACAAAAAAGACAAAGAAAATGAGGCTGCCAAGCAGGAACTGCCACAGATTCACGAATCTGAATCTTCTTCTCGGTCTTCTTCAGAACGCTGCGGGACGTCGTGCTGGACGAAGTCCTCCTTGGAGAGGCGGGACTCCGGGATGACGGTGCCGATGCTCCTCCCGAACGCCTTGCGGCAGCAGGACGACGCCTTGTTCCCGTCCACCCGGCTAAGGTTCACGTTGACGAGCGACAGGTGCCTGCACGGCTTGGCGTCGCTGCACGAGAACCTGACCGCATGCTTCGACGCCGACGTGCCCGTGATGTCAATGTAGTTGATCTTCTCTACCTGCACTGCTGTCGCTGCAGCCTGGGCGGTGCAAGATTTCCAACGTGTAAGTTCAGAGATACTGGATACTCGTATGCTGCCCATCATCGTAGCTATGAAAACAGACAGTGATAGAAGTTTGATCAGCGTGTGTACCGGTGCTACTGCTTCAGATGAAGCTGGCAGATGGTCGGAGTTCCCCTGATCGACGATGATGGGGTTGGTGACGTTCCTCATCACGATGCTCTCGAACTTCACCCCTTACGGGCGAAGCCGCCACCGCCACTCTGAAAACGACATGAACCGCACAGGTTTTACAGAGTTTTCACCTGAGTTCCTCACACATATGAGTAGACTGTTCTGGTTCAGGTGGAGTAACGGTCAGTTGCTGTTGCTGTTACCTTGGTGGTGCGTACGCGTACACCGTTCTCGTCGTTTGAGATGAACAAGGTGTCAACTTTGATCTTCTCCACATAATCAACGGAGTTGTTTACTCCTAGGGTTCCAATACTGGTCGCAATCCGACACTGTTAGTTGTGCTAGCAATCGAAGAACATGTGGAGAAATGAAAATCTGAAGAGGCAACCGTCAGTTAGTTACCTGATACCATGGCCAGGTCCACATGAGATGGCACTTAGACGAACATCCTCGCATTTGCCCACTATGGAGACACAATCGTCACCTGTGGGGAAAAAAAAAGTAGAAAACATGGACAAATCATATGACATGCTTAACGAATTAGCAGCACAGTTTGTCCGTTTGTGCAATGCGCAAGTGTTTTCAGTTTCCACTCTCCAGTGTTCATTCTACTGAATTTTCTGGCCACTTGACACATCCACTTTTCCGAAATTGTGTTCTGAAAATTAAGCTCCTATTGCTGAAACTGCCCATGATGACGCACGGCTAACAGAAAGGGCACGTACCTGTGGAGATGAGGTTATCCATGACGTGGACATTGAACGAATCAACGAGGTGAATGCCCTTGGTGTCGATGCTGTCCTCCGGTGAGGTCACCCTCAGGTATTTCGCCTCGACGTCGGAGCTCCGGGTGAACGTCAGGTGGTACGACTGGCTGTTCTGCAAGGTGATGCCCTTCACGCTGATCCCCTGGCAGTCCTCGAAGTGAACAGCCTGCAGATGAAAGACACGGCGGTGAGTTGCTCCCAACTCTGTGAGCGGCGCATAAGCTCACCTTGGGAGCGGGCTGCGCGCGCATAAGCGACGACTGCGCCCACCACTGCTGCCCTCTGCCGTCGATGATGCCCCCGCCGGTGATCTTGAGGTCCTGAACCTTGTGGAAGTGGAGCCACTGGCTGCGCTGGCCGTGCCCCCAGTCGCTGGGGCTCTCCGGCGCAACGATGTCCCCGGAAATCTGAGCAACCGCAAGTCAAGAACGGAAGAACCAGTGCGCGTGAGCAGAGAGACGATAGCGGATGGCGGTTAATAAGCGTGCTTACGAGCAGCTTGATCTCGCTCCTGCAGGGTCCGGCGAGCGTGAGCGGCCAGATTTGGAAGGTCCCGCCGGCGGGCACGTTGAGGATGACGTTGTCCGCGGCGGTGCATGCGGCCGTCCACGCGTCGGCGAAGGCCTTGGGAAAGAGCCGAGGCGTTGGTGGTCAGTCGCAGTCGCATTGGGGTGGCACTGTAGCAGCAAAAGAAAACGTACGTACGGCAGTGCTGCGGGAGTACCTACCTTGGTGTCATCCGCGACGCCGTCACCGACGGCGCCGAAGTCGTGGAGCGTGAGGAGGATGCGGGACTCGGCGGCGTCCGGAAGGAGAGCCGCAGCGAAGGCGCCCGCGAGCAGAAGCAGCACGGTCCCCCGCGCCATCGTCGAACAGAGCGTCCGGCACTAGTAGCAGAGCAGAGTGACACCTGTACACCACTCACTTGACTACTTGATGAGGTGGGCGGCGCACGGGCAGGGTACTTGAAGTACGCAGACCACAGCCTCGAAGTGGGGCGCGGACGGATAGGTGCGGGCGCGCGTGTACAGGGCGCCAGGGAGGAGCGCGTACGGAGGCCGGATGGGCGTGCTAGAAGCTCAGAACGGCCAGAGGTCCCCAGAGCAGGTAGGTGCAGGTGCGCCATCGAGCAAGGTTTCTGAATCTACATTCTCGTTCCGTCAGGGATTATTACCGCTGACGCTGGTGCTGATACGATCATATACGATCGTGGATTATTATTGTTGGTATGATTTATGTGAGAGAAAAATACTGTTTTAACTGAAAATTTACGATCATTTACGACCAAACGATCGAGATCCGGTTTTACAGGGAGTCTCTCGAGTCTGGAACGTGCGCCGAGCTCATCCCATCGTGCCATCTGACAAAATGAAATTGGTATTAACAAGGTCAGCGCTACTGCTGCACTGCAGATGATCCATCGTGTTCGTGTCAGAACAGGTGGTTTTAGTGACATTTTCTAAGCGATCCGTTAATTTTCTTTGCTCACATGACGAGCGCACGTGTTTTTTTTTATTTTACTTCCATTGCATCAACATATAATTAAGAAATGGATATGAAAACATCCAATTCGAAATGTTTAAGCATATATTGCCTAACGTTACAACTCGGCTAAAGCCTCCCAAGAGAAAAAAGAACAAGTGATTGGTATCATCAATAACCACGCCCTTAGCAAGAGAAGCATCCAGCTTGTTTGAATGTCTTCTTATTTTGCACACCAGCAGCCTCCTCACTTCAATAAATCAGTCTGTTCGCTTGTTGGTTTCAGTCAGGGTTTATCACCATGATACAATATTTTTCTCTCGCAACAAACCAGCACTAGCCGGGCTTATCAACCCAAAAACCAATCAACGAACATGTTGAGTACTTGAAATTCTGAGATGAGAGGTCCAAGGACCAATGTTCAAGGTGAGTACGGAAATCCTGCAAGCATAACACTAGCAACGATAAGCAGGGTCCTCTCTTAGAAGGCCATCGCCAACTTTGCACCAAGAATGAGGGCTTGTGCTTCTGCCTCGAAGGGATCCAAAACTTTTGGAATAGTCATGTGAAAAAAAAAAAGCATGGCCTCGTGGGAGGCTTCTAGCATGTTGAGTTAGAATTAAAACATCAATGCACGTTTTGCTGTTTGGATTGGTGTCTTGAATAGCCATCGATGCATCACAAAAAGTTTAGACCTAGACATTATTTGCAAATGAGATTTGTGGGGATAACACACAATGTTAGACACAGGAAGATCTTTTTTTTTTTAACCTAGACACAGGAAAATCTTGTGTCTAAGAATTTGAACCAGAGTCAGCCTCAGCAACTAAAGAGTAGCCCCAATCAATTGCTTTAGCCTGATACAAGACCTTTTGCACCGGCCAATCTCTGTTATTGAATCTTATATCATTTTGTTAGCCTTCCAAATGCACCACGTAATGGAAAAGATCAAACCTGCTGAAACCTTTTTTAGAAAATCAGGAGGGGCAAGCTTGCAATAACTTGAGATGGTGATAACGGCCTACGAAGCCAGTTGACAGTTACGTGGGCCAACGAAGCCTTCTCAACAAGCAAACGGCCCAATGATTCTCTATGGCCCACGCCATCTAAGAAACAGTTGTTGCGGGCGTTTGGAGTTCGCCACTTGACGTGCTAGATCATTTCCAATGGTTTCTAAAAATATAATTGGTATAATTTTTCAAGTGGCTAAAAAAGTTGGGAGCATATTTGTTAAGTTCATCCAACTATTTCAAAAATCTCATTCCCAAAAGATAGAAGACAATTTTGCATCAAAAGAATCTCAAACTATTTTTAAACCACCTCAACAATTTTTATACTTTATTTCTCTCTCGTATATTTGCATTGAGCACCCTGTCCTTACTTCATATTCTTACTCACGCCCTTCCTCCCTCGAGATGGCCTACTCAATATGCGCATATATTTCCGCACAATTGGATCGATTTTTTTTAAGTGCGGAAAGATCGAGAGTTGAGATGAGAAGTTCGTTGGAGAGCATTTTTAATCTTAAAAAAATCAAGATTGGAAGTGGGTTTTGAAAACATTAGAGATCCTCTTAGGCATGGCGGCCCCGCGTAGGTTCTCTTTCTCTCCATGGCCACGTCTCCCTATTCTCTTTTGACCTCACCAACAGTCAGAGAAGTGGAACTCATTCTCTTCATCGATCGTTTCTTGTAGGTTCTTTTTCAACTACGATTCAGTTTCCCAACGGCATTGATTTTATTTCTTGCATTTTCAACTGGTATTCGGTTAGGTGGCATTGATTTAGTATCTTGTATGTTCTTTTTCAACTAGGATTTGGTTTCTGGCGGTATGGACAAAGTGGTGGGAGCGATAGTACTGAAATAAAATCTCTTCGGTCTCTCCACCTCAATGATATTCGATTTTGTGTTGGCAAAGGCCTAGCGAGAGTACGTTCTGTTAGATATATTGGTTCTCTTTAAATTTTGGCAGTTTGTAATGAGAAACAGTGGGTTAGTTTTCAATGTGGTGATTTTGACATCTCTTTTTAGTCTATTATCTGGTAAGATCTCATTTTCTCCGATACTCTGTTTTGGCTGTGAGGCCGTATTCCTTAGAGGTTCCCTAGACCGATGTTCTTTCTATAAGTAGATTTTACATCGTGTTGATAGCGGTGAGTGTCTTCTTATGGTCTTTAAAGCTTTGTATGTCGAGGATGTTTGCCTGTGTGTATTTCCCTTGCCCATGCAAAATGTTGTGTGCTATGATGTAGGTCCTGTTCGCTGGGAGAAATCTGGAAGAATTTGTGAGAGAGTGAACAGTAAATTTCATCCACGTACAGCAGTGAAATCTAACTGATTTTTGTACCAGCCGAACTGCCCCGTACTCTTATTTCTCCCTAGATCGTTCGGTGACGAGTTATTCTACCTACTACCGTTTAATTGGGTACCTTTAAGTTTCTTTTTTATTAAAAAAGGAACTTTTCCTATTCTTTCTGGAAACGGCAATGCTGCGAAGCGGATGTCCGTCCACCCGGACGTCCTACTGGTGGGCCGCGCGAAGCCAGCCGAAGACGCCCGCTCCTTCGTTTCTAAATATAAAAAAAATCCGCTCGTCCATGTACTCGTTCCTATTCGCTCACTTGCTCCTATCCACTCGGCTGCTGCCTCTAGCACTTGGCCACTGGCCCAGCCAGGCGCGACGCGACCGCCTCGGAGGCGCAGTGCTCGGGCGCCGACCCTACCAGGCATGGCGCGCGATCACCTCCGAGTTGTGATGCTCGGCTGTCGGCCCTGCCAGAAGCCGCATGCGGTTGCCTCTCCTAGTCGTGTGGCCGATGCCTTCCCGCCACATCGTGCAGCCGCCTACAAGCGTCGCCAAGCCGCTGGCTCTGGTGAACTCTACACGCCGACGAGCCTCTATTTTTTCAAGCAGCAAGGAGATGTTGCGCTGAAAGCGCATGCTATAAGCATACGTTTCAATTGTTTGGATGTTTTAGAAGTATGTTGCAAGTGTTTTATATAGATGTTGCAAAAGTAGATCGAGATGTTGCACATGTTACAGTGATTATACACGTATGTTGCAAGCATTTGTTCCAAATATTTCATCTGTTTTTTAGACGTACGTCGCAAGTGTGTTTCTTTGGATGTTGTATATGTTTCACACATAATATGTTGTAAATATTTTATGTGGATATTTCATATGTTTTGCGATGACTTTTTCAAATGTTTTCATGTGTTTTTTAAGTGTTTCAAACGCACATTTCAAGTTTTTATCTGTCTTCAGACGCATGTTGTAAATATATAATTTGGATGTTTCATAGATTGGGTGTTGTTGTCGACTCACCCGCCGCAGCCGCCACTTCTGAAGCGCCGCTTGAAAGCGCGCGTCATGCAAAGGTGCGCAGACGCTCAGACGAGGAAGTGGAAGGGCGCGAGCGATCCTGCGTGGGGGTGGAGCAAAGACGGCGACATCGAGCGGCGTGGGCGGTGTGGGCGTGCAAAGCATGCATCGCTGCAGGACGAGCGTCCGAAGCGCATGTCGTCTGTTCGGACGTCGATGGAGCAAAGACGGGCTCCATTTTCCCAAGCAGTAAGGAGATGTTACGCTGAAAGCGCATGCTATAAGCATACGTTTCAATTGTTTCGAATGTTTTAGAAGTATGTTGCAAGTATTTTATATAGATGTTGCAAAAGTAGATCGAGATGTTGCACGTGTTACAGTGATTATACACGTATGTTGCAAGCATTTGTTCCAAATATTTCATCTGTTTTTCAGACGTACGTCGCAAGTGTGTTTTCTTTGGATGTTGTATATGTTTCACACATAATATGTTGTAAATATTTTATGTGGATATTTCATATGTTTTGCGATGACTTTTTCAAATATTTTCATATATTTTTTTAAGTGTTTCAAACGCATATTTTAAGTTTTTTATCTGTCTTCAGACGTATGTTGTAAATATTTAATCTGGATGTTTCCTAGATTGGGTGTTGTTGGTGGAGACTCACCTGCCGCAACGGGGCGTCGCCGAGCGGGCGCAGATGTCTAGACGAGGAAGTGGAAGGGGCGCGAGCAGTCCCAGCGTAGGGTGGAGCAGCACGGGCGACATCGAGCGGCGTGGGGCGGTGTGGGCGTGCGAAACAGACTGCAGGCACAGACGTCCGGGCGCGTGCGTCCGTTCGGACGTCCAGTGGAGCAGCACGGGCGACATCGAGCGACGCGGCCCGTGTGGGCTTGCGAAACAGAGTGCAGACACAGACATCCGGACTCCAGCCCCGGAAAACACAGAGAGAAATAGCTCTCCTTTTCTAGCACACAACATTATGCACGTAAACTCCAATATTTCTTCTCTGTGTTTCCTTGTCGTCAACAACGGCGTGTACAATCGACAAGCTCGTTTGGG